CAAGTCTTGAGTTAAGCTTTTCCAAACTTAGTTACTGTATTTTACAATTCCTAACACTTCTAACTTTTTAATATTATACTAATGTATTATACCTTCTAATATACTCTAGTATTATGTAAAACAAATCATATATAGTAAAGTTATAAAGGCTCTAATATTTGTACTATACTCTTAATAACAATTGCCCCCTTACTTTAAACCTTTAATATTATATACACATTTAATAATAATCTTTATCTATTTAATAAAGCTGCTTTCATATTAATAGCTTTTGTAGTTATAGAGATATAAGGTTACAAACTTATGTATATAAAGTATAATATAACTTTCTTTGTAAACATTACACAGACTCAATTCTTAAATATGTTGTAAATACATAAGCTCTAATAGTATTATAGTATTAAGAGTTGTAAAGTATTACAGATTTTAGTTAGAAGAAACTGTTATATTATTTATTAATAAATAATACACAAGTTCACAAGTAATTAGTATATTTAAAATTATATTTATGTAATAAATAAATTTCAATTAAATTTACATTAATTTTAGTAAAATAATGAAGGAATTTGGTTAAGAATTGAGTAAGATACAGTAGAAAGTGTATACTTACTATATAAGATAGTAAGTACAGAGTGTGACAGAGAGCACAGGGTGTGACAGTGCTAATGACAGTTGTATCAATTCTGCATCCAGACCCTGAGTCTTACAGTTCTTTTTTGGTTAGCTTGAATTGGCTACCTACAGTTTAACTTGAATTTCACTAAGTCAAAATAAAGTCCTTTTCTAATAAAATACATGTTCCCCTCCCTAATCCTAGCCAAAACCCATTCTAACACTCAAACCTAACAACCCAACTTATCCTAAACCTAATTGAGAGGCTTTGCCCCTCAAACCCCCCTCCTAACTTCTTAGTCCAAGAGTTACTACACTAGTATTATGTAAGTAGCTATTCAGAGTCATCCTAAATTAGGTTGTAAGACTTAGAGTCTAAATGTAGAAAATTAAAGGTTACTAATAATAAGTACATATAGAATAGTGTAACATGTAAAGAGTATGTAAGCAGCTGAGTAATGACTAAGCACTTAGTCATAAGTTTACTAATTATATACTTATTTATATAATAAGAGTTTATTTAAATAGGTAGAATACAGAATTATTTATAGTAAGGTAGAGAAAGTATAAACCTAATATAGTATAATATAGCAGCCTAACCTAATTGGGATACAAACAATGATGGCAAAATACAACACTCAGTATCTCAAAAATGCAGTTTTGAGCCACATAGATAGATTAAGCTTACTCTAACCTACAAAAGTAGGTTTTTAATTTTTTAAAATATTGAGATTTGAGTGACTTATTTCTAAAAAAATAAAAACTTTTTTTTTAATTGCCAAATGTACAGAAATGCAATTTAGTGAAAATTTGAAAAAATTTTCTTAGATTTTTGCCGCTTCAGCAAAACCAATATTACATAACATTACCATATATAGAGTCTTACTAATTATTACCAATATAATATTGGTCAGCATTTTCGTCTATTTGTTATAAGAGTCAGAGGCTTACAATAAATACTTACTCTAATAATAAATATTCAAGATACAACCAAGTATTATTAATATATTGTTAATTTGTAGTACTAATAAAAGCTAAACAAAACATTTCTAAGACCTTTTTTGTATGTTTAAAAAAAGGTCAATGTCCACAGCTCAATTTTTGCCAAAGGGTCCTTCCTAAAGGGGTAAGTGGCTGTGCTGTGACTGATGTGACACCCTATGTCGGGTTTATACTTTCTCTACCTTATAGGGAATTTGATGAAATGGCACCTAATTAGACAGGCAATCGGACCGAAATCGCTTAACTAAGATCAGTTTCTGGTGTGAGAACCGCAGGTGAATTTAACAGACTACTAATAATTGTTTGCAACTACAGAAGTAGATTTGGCTTTCCCTAACCTGAAGTCAGTCTAAGTCACGTGCTCTATTGGGACACGCAAAACCAAAATCGTGGGCTCCATTGTCTAATCTCTGCGAAGCACAACATGTCAACATCTCTATTTAGTATTCCTCAATGTATCGCGAAGAACTTCAGAAGGATGAAGTGAAGATACCCTATATTTATACAACGATGATCAACAAACCGTACCTCGTTGAAAGACATCACATGCGCCAAAAACGCGTGTCAAGGTGACGCGATAAATACTGCGGACCCGTCGCTCTCTTCAAATACCGCCGCCAAGTTTATTGTACCGATGAAGCGGATCAAGGAGCAAAAACATACGTGTGAGTCTGCTCGTCGACACTGTTAAATTTCGTCTTAAAATCTCTCGCGGTCCTCGGTGAGCAATACTGACAATGTGCTTCTTGCTGTTTGTTGGGCAGACATTGGCTTCTCTTTAAACATACGTGAGAGAAAGACGATTGATCGAGTTAACGTTAACGTTTAATCTCGCCTAGATCCGGTACCGCATACCATGTGCCTAGTCGAGTAGGCCGCCGTCCGGGAAAATATCAGAACAAATGAGGGTATGTGTCGAGATACCAAAGCATACCTTGATCTATATAAAAGAGGCGTATGCTTCAAAGAGTCGCGCATAATACCCGTGCGGTATTGTGCTCCGCATAATGGCTTGTTTCACTGCTCCGAAACTCGTTTTAATTCTCTCAGCACTGCATCTAGTTCTGCTCGCAACCTATGTCTTTGCACAGTGCTCCGAACCATCCGTTCGCCGTGAATGGAGACAGTTCAGCGCCAGCGAGAAAGTGGAGTGGATCGCAGCCGTGAAGGTCAGAAACCACACCCCTTGCTTGAGTCCTCTAATATGATATTTAGTGTCTCACCACATTCCCCCATACCGATGCACTTACTCCATCTGTGGACCCGTCTGTCTCGTTAATCCCGAGTGTTAATACATCGTCTACGTACTACGATGGTAAGCACGTTCCGTAAATTTGGGAAAGAGGTGATGTTGAAGGCCCTTGCTAGATTTTGTGTATATGCACATGGATCTCAACACGAGGGTATAAGGCATCTACATTGAAGCGATCCGTTCGGACTTTGATTATTTGTTCTCTGCAGATTCATTCCACCGGCTACTTCCTTCCATGGCATAGATGGTACGTTGCTGTGTACGAGCAAGCTCTTAAGGAGAAGTGCAGTTACACTGGTGTCTCGCCATACTGGAACTGGACCATAGGTTCTTTCGCCCGTCTCACCAGTTTCATATCTACAAGCTTACAAGAACGTATAGACTCGGCCGATGTCTTCGATTCAGACTTTTTCAAGGAGTCTGACCCCTCCAGTGGGCTCGGAGGATGGGGCGATCCGAACAAGGACTTAGGTGTAACGGATGGTGCCTTCAGCGACTTCATGATCGCGTATCCAAATCCACACATTCTGCGACGTAATTTCTCATTGCAGCCTTGGAAAGACCTTGGTGATCTCAACGGATTCAATCCATATCCCCTCGAATACGCAAATGCAACTTTCACGCCCGATGCTATGAGCGCGTTGATAAATGGCTATGTCGGAGATTTTGTCGGTTTTCAGGCGGACTTTGAGAAAACGCAGGGAGCACATGGTACTTCGTTTTTACTATTTGGAGATTTCCATCCAGATTGAATTGAAATCCTATCTTCAGGCGCTGTTCACCTGATGATGGAAGGGTAACTGTTACCGTTCTTGTTCCTATATTTTCGGGATCCCGTATTCATCCAATTTTTCAGTGACCTAGGTGGCACTTGTCCGCAAGGTGCCTATGAAGGTTGTTCGGGTAACAATCCCACTTGGTCTGCAAATGGTATGCATGACCTGTGCCAACTGACCCACCGATATTGATCACTGCCTTATTGTAGAGCCGCTTTTCTGGATGCACCATGCAGTATGTTCGCAATTCGCCATGACGGGATGTCACATTGCTAAACTAGTGTTGTATAGATGGTTGACAAAGTTTGGTCCGATTGGCAGAACGCTAATCCGGAGAACTTCTGGGCGTTCTTCGGTGGTACTGTACAAAGCACACAGAATGTTACCTACTATGCACAGTATCCAAACGGCGGACCTCCTTTCTTATCTGTACGTATTCTAACCCATTTTGTCTTTCTGCCCGTATCCAATATGTAACCTCTCGCATTACAATAGGTTAATGACACGATTCCGGCGGATGGTCTATTCAACGAGACAACAATTTATAACGTCATGGATACGACAGGAGGATTTTTGTGCTACGTATATGAGTGATGCAGTGTTAGTCAATGTCGTTTAGCGTCTTCTGCCCCTGTTTCCATTCGTCCGACCATCCAAACTTCCATGTTTACACATATGTGAGTAGCAACCCGAATGCTCTGTTGTCTGGAAGATACGTATGACGAAAATTTTGTCCTTCAAACTAACATCCTGTACGAGACCATGAGCTTATCAGCTTTGCTGCGATTGTCTACAGTAGAGATGCACAGCAATCACGGTTCTGCGTCATCACTGAAAGCCAATTTTAGCCAGAAATAATATTTAATGTAATGCTATGCCGGAACTGTTCGGCCTTGATCCCGTGAGCCTAAGATTGGTGGTACATTTACATAATCGTGCAGTGACATAAGGTTCTTGAAACTCCGACGGGGACACCTGTAGCAGCAACAGTCATCGCATTCATTGAATCATTCAACATTGTAACTCACGCATGTCAGTAACATTCGCATTCGTCGATTGCTTTTACCAATTTCCTTCTAGGAAAGCATGCTTCTTTGTGAATGTCCGTGACATTCAACGTCTTATGACCGTAAGCTTAATTATAACTAGATATGTCATTCGTATCACTCTCTGCTCGGTTGATTCAGATATCATTGATAAAATTGCAGGCGACAAAAGCAAGGCACACGAAAAAGGAAAATGTCTATAGGCATACAGGGCTTCACTGTTCTTCTCTCGCAACCATCCTTCTGACAGAATATGCGTGGACTTGATTAAAACCAGTCATAACACGAAGATAGTGAATGGAGATTACTGCTCACCTCGACTCTAGAATTGTGTGTTTGCATACTTTTCAAATCCTGGAAGCTGCTTGATCTCCTCTGTCATAGCTTTCATGGCCGCATCGCTTTGAGGTGTCAATAGCTGGTAAATCGGGCGGAGACGCAAAGGAGATACATAGTCTTCTGCTGCCTTCTTTTTTCACGTAGAATCGGCGTTCTTCGATCGCAATGTTACATTGCGAAGTGTAAGTACTTCATAGCTCCACCAGTCTCCAGCAATCGCGACTCCGACAATCGCTTTGTACTCTGGATTTCCCGAGAAGAGTACCTCTGCCTGATCATTGAGATCGGCTTTTGCCTCCTTGATTGCACCGTAAATACTGTTCAGCTCCGAATTCATGGGACACGGTTTGAGTTCCATCAAGGCTACAATCTTCATTCGCTCGAAATCCATGCCATTTAACCTAAGTCTCTTCCGGAAGACGCGTAAAAGTGCAAAATCAGGAATACGTGATTCCTTCCTGACTCTCCCGTCCTGATCAACTTGTTCATGCGAGACGACTCTCTGGGGACCAACGACTAACGATCGACACTTCCTGACGAAACGACTAAGCCGGATATTCCAAATCGTGTACCAGATGTCCTCCAAGCCACGGTGATTCGGTAATCCGAGCGTTCTTCGGAGATTGTAAATCTCACGTTTTGCAGAAAGGATTGAGACCTCCTCCTTAAAGTGCCAGTGGTTTGGCATGTCATCCTACCCTAGAGCTCTTGGTGGCTTCAGTAATTGAGCATGAGTAGAGGTTGATGAGACTATGAGACTACATACGATTAGTGATAAGACGAGGTTACTGTTGTGTGTAGGGCTCGGTCCCGTACCGTATTATACGGATACGGCATTTTCGTATACGGTGCCGTACCGTATCCGTATAAAAAATTTGACTCAAAAATACGGCACGTATTTTACGGGCCGTAACCGTATATAGTCTGTATAATACGGACCGTATACGCCTGTATACGATATACAGCTACTAAATGAAAGAAACTCTTGCTCTAAACATAATACTGAAGCTCTAATAAGTAGTATTCAATGTTCAGACACTTATACTAGCATTTACTAATATATTCAGCACTATTATTGTAAAAGTATGTGCAATCTGATATATATTCCGATATATAGGTACATCACATGACTCGACTTTATGACAAATATCACAGACTAAATTACATAACAAAATGTCAATAAGTCAAATTTTATACATTTCATGTAGATTAAGGCATAATATAGGTAGAATTCAATATTTCTATACTAAAGAGGTAATATCACAATGATGTAGCCCCTTACATTTCATGCTACACCTTGGTAAATGTAGCAACTACGCCGTATCCGTATATGGCGTATACGTTCCGTATACGGCCGTACCGTATCCGTATAGGTTTTCGGGTTCAGAAATACGGCACCGTATTATACGAGCCGTATCCGTATAAGGGTCGTATTATACGGCCCGTATCCGTATACGGTACGGTACCGAGCCCTAGTTGTGTGGCAGCTGGACAAGCAACCTTTGGCAAACAACTAAGTCAAGAGCCTATTTATGTACTTTACAGTAGCTGGTCACACAGAGAGAGGAAAGACAGTGGATGCGGAGTAGAACCAGTAGGCAGTCCACATTTTATTGACCACTGAACAGCGTGGCTGAGATACAAATCGGGGGTAATGATGTCCGATAGTGGCTCAACAAGGTGGGCTGAATGCCGGTGCATCTGTAGTCACCAATCTCTAGCCACTTATCAATGAATTGGCTTGTTCCCTTGTGGCATGCGACGTTCAATAACCTGAATTGGGGAAAATAATTTGGTACGGGTTGGCACCCCCAGCCCTACCGAAATAGACCAATCACTATATGAGAAGCAATTATAGACTCTCATTCATTAAATGCCTAAAGACACTCTAACATGATCTAACAGGGCTAATGGCCTTTGATTCCCTTTGTTCGTGCGCTAATGTCATGAACATAGCCAGACAAAAGGAGAATGATTGATTGATTGAAGGAAGTAGATGGCATTTACACTGTTACAATAGGTTCGCTCGGAAAAGTTGAACTAATCCTCTTCAGACCCCAATTCCGAATCGCTTTCGTCATCCGATTCTGCACCTCCCATATCCTCATCGTCTGCTTGTCGACGGGGCAGTTCAACAGGTGGATACTCCTCGTCGCCACTGCTATCTCCATCCTCGTCATCTTCGGGCCCATGTCTACCATATAACTCAAACCACCGGAACGGGCGGTTGATCCCAAACTGTTCTCGGACCGCTTCCATTTGCTCCCGCGTGAACTTGTTGTCATCCAGGCGACGTTCCTCATCAACAATGAACGTGACAATTTGTGCAGTTTTGCCTTTGTATGTGACCGAGCGAAGCTTGTAGTAAACACCAGTCATTTGTGTAACCCAGTCCATGATCGAAAGTTCACATGAAAGCGTTTCTTTCTCCCAAGGCCAATCCTATTTCTTGGCGATACGATGCCAGTCCTGTACCTTAATTTGTACACTGTATATCCATTCGTACGGTACCAGATGGTATGGTCTAAAGCAAAATCGATTGAGCACGGCAAACAAACATCCTAGTCTCATTACATACTTTTGGTCCTGACTGGTAGACTTATCTAGCCGGAGTCTCGAAAACTTGGAGTCAAGAGCAGCAGGCACAGACATTCTGCTCAACGTTGAATGTGAGATGACAGTTAGAGTTGCGGGTAGTCGGTAGACTGAGGATCAGCTATTTATACTCTTTTGTATGTGGTCTGAAGTTTCGTGGCTCTAGTTTTGTTATTGTTTGTGAACAACAATCGAAGCGAAGCTCTTACGTCAGTGTGAAAGTATTTCCAGAATAAGCAGGTCACTCTAGTCATGCGACTCGAATCAAATTGAAATTTGGAAACTGGGAGTATTTTCTCTGCCCAGCACCAATATAGTGGCTAAAGCATATTGGCATATTTCTTGTATAGTATCATATGTACAGTGAAACCTGTCATTAAGTATGACCCACTGTAGACAGGTGAGGCCATACTTAATAAGAGGTTATGCTTGTTGAGAGTAGCTTAAGTAAAGTAATAAAAATTTCCTTATTTGTAGTACATAACTCAATAATACATTGTCTACTTAAAAAACAACTGAATATCAGTCTGTTTAAGAGAACTATTTATTTTCTTGTATAGGTTTCTTGTAAGCTTTGGAAAAAGTGTTTTAGCCTTAGTAAACTTAGTACAGATCTTATTCTGAAAGAGTATATTAAGCTTTGAAAGTACTTAGACAGTCTCTACATAGCTAATGAGTGGTTCTGGCTCTGGCTCTAGAGCCTCAAGCTCTAGAATATGCTTACTAATAGTCTCCTTCTTGTTATACTCAACCTGCTCTAATATCTTCTTATTAGTCTACTTAGTCTTAATAATCTTTTTATCTAGTATGTTAAGGAGTTCTTCTACTGTAGGAATGTTTATTACTAGCACTGTTCTACTATTCAATTTAACCTCCTCCAGAGCTGCTGAAAGCTTAGAGATAGTCTGAGTAACTCTAGTAGTATACTTTTAGAGTATAAGATTAATAGGAATAACTGTATTCTGTATAATTGTAAGATTACAGATAGAGAGTATAAGAAAAACAAATTACTTACCTCCTGAAACATATTCTTTACCTAAAGTATCCTAGCATACTTCTAACAGTTTGTTACTATCTCTAGAGTGATCTTTTCTCAAGCCTTGAGTAAGAGACACATTTCTTCAAGCTAGTTAATAAAATATATGTTTTTAGTACTCTCTTTATATTAACCAAGAGATTCAAGGATGTACAGATAGTAGTAGTAAGCTTTGAATGTGTAAATAATTCTAGTATCTATTGGTTGGATGTAGAAAGTCATGTTTGGGTCAAAGAATATAACTTTAGTATTCTTAAGTTTCTTTGTGTTAAATATATGTAAAGAGACATTATTAATTAACAAGCAAATCTTTTACTTTTTGAAAGGATTCAACCAGATTTGTAATGGCTGATCAAGCAACAGAACAAGCACTACCAGAACCACCAGACATACAAATGTAAGAAGCAGAAGAATGTAAGAAATACAATTATATGACACAATTGTAAGAACAAATGTTAAACATCTTAACACAACAATTAACTAAGAACAAAGATATTAGAGAAAGCTAACAGATTAACCTACCTACAAAAACAATACAAGCAGTTGATAGATGTTTATTAATTAGTAAAGTACACTATTAGAGACAGTTGACAGTCTATGTTAGAACTAAGATACTATGAGATAGAACAAGCTTCAAAGTATATATAGTTAAGACAAATAATCTATATATACATAGTGAATGTATAAGTACACAAATACACCTACATATGCTAGCACACTAAGTAAACAAAAAACAAGTAGTAGGAATATTTACAGATGTATAGAGTATAATACTCTAAGAACAAATACATGGACAAGCTATCCTTACTAGCATACAAAGGGAACAACTGTGTATCAAACAATATAATATTAAAGTCATTTATAGAGACATGAAACTGATAATAGAAAGGACTCATAAACTCCTTAAAGGAATGGAACTTAGAGTAGTCCAGCCTTACATTCTAAACAAATAGTGTAAGAGCTACAAACTAATAGTAACACAAATAATTCTGTACAGTACCTCTTAAAATGAAGCCTCTAGAGTTTAATGAAAGTAGTACTAATCATAAAAAGGCTATTTAGAGTTAGCTAAGGAAAAGAAGCATTCTGAGGACTAGTATTACTAAAGTTGTACAGAAAGTACATAAAAGCAGTTACCCCTATATTGATTACTACCTTATTAGAAGCACTCAGAAAGCTCAAGGCTACTAGATTGTAAATCTAGAGACTATAGTCTATAGTATATGACAAAAGTATTGTACAGGAGAAAAAAATATATAACTTCCCCAAAACACAATAATATTACACTCTGTAAATTGGTACTTGTAGTCTAGCATTTTATGAATACAACACTCTATAGAGTATT